ATTCAGTGTGCCTGAAGACACAACTGTTTTCACTCTTTTAGGTTTTGAGTGGGGAACCCTGGCGACTCTCTTTCTGTTGCTGCTAATGTCTATTTTGGGAGGTTTCCCTTTACTTTCTGTCCAAGAGACACAACAGTCAATCAAAGGAAACCTCTTAAAAGTGAGAGGGTCAACAGGTCTCCCCATTGGAGATTTCATCTCTATTCCTTATCTGCTGGTACCTTATTTGGATTTCCTATCATGTTTATGTCAATGGTCATTAGGACAAAGGGTCACTGAATCACTGTCTACTGTATATTGCAGACCACAATAAAAACTTGACAGATTCTAGCCACCGTATATTCAAAAGTTTAAAAAAATGTTTTGGCACTAAAATCTTTGACCAATGTTGATAGCAGTGTACAGACATTGTAACCTATGTTCTTCTCCATAAGCTGATAGCTTTTTGATGCAAATGACCACATAATATGAGAATATTATAAGACACTTTAGTGATAAAACTGACACAGAACATAGGGACTCAGACCTATTAATCTCTGGCATGCAAAAGCTTTATTTTAATGATAAAACTCCAACTCTTGAAAAGCCCAAATGTATGACACAATCAATTCTCTCTCATGAATCTTCTCACTATAACCATCAGTCTGCACAGCGTGACATCACAGCACTTTGTGTTATTGTTTTCTCGCACTGGAAAGACCAACACACTAAACCAATGTCAGATGTGGGCTCTGTGATTGTGGGGGTCAGGCTGGAAAACCCAATGCCTTAATACTCCTCATCATAGGGGTATTTAGGAGATTCCTTCCAACTAAATGAAAAGAGAGGAAGAGACAGATTAATCAATGGTGTCCTCGTCTGCAAAACATGATCAAATTCCCCCCCCCAAAAAAAAAAAATAGGATGAACTGCTTTACATTAATATTCAGGTATATGGCATGGCAGCACCACCACCTGAAACTGAAATTTTATTTTGGTGGATGAATTACCTATAGGCTTCTTATAATTCATTATTTAAACTGAGCTCCAGGAATTTTTTTTTATACTTACAATGGGCCAGCTTGGTTACATGTAATCCATGTCAAGACAAAGTCATTCAGAGTCCAAAATGTCAAACGTGTGCCAATCCCTTCCCCACCCCATCCAATTTATTAGGCATGAGTCAGTGCCAGTGCATGCCCAATTGTCGTTAGCAGCTAGGATGCCACTCCCAGCTGCCACCACGCTTGCCTAAGCATCACTGCACAGCTCTGAGTCTGCCATTTGGTTTTCATATGGAACCAGAGCTGTACAGTAATGTTGTGGGAAAGGGGCATTGTGAAATATTTTGCACACCTGGGCACTCCAAGGGTGGGGGGCATATTAAACAGACTTAAAGAGGCATAGTTAAACAGAACCTTCCATATGTTTTATTACACATAAATTATAGACAAAGAGCTAAACCCACATTAAAGAAGTTTTTCATTAAAACTGTTTGAGACTACATAGCAACCAGCAACTGTTGAGGCAATAAACACTTTGGTTATACGTGTATAATCATAATATAACATATAGAGTGCAGGAGTCAGGAGTTTACAATGTACAGAGTGCAATGGTCAGGCATATGTAATGTGCAGTCCAGTGTACAGAGTGCAGGGCTCAGGAATATGGAATGTACACTCCATTGTATAGTGCTCAGTTGATCAGTCTAGCAGCCATTAGTATGTAATATAGAGCAGTAAGGGACATGTGACATGCACTATATTGCCAAGAGCATTGGGACACCTGCCCTACACGCACATGAACTTTATTGGCATCCCATTCTTAGTCCGCAGGGTTCAGTATTAAGTTGGCCCGCCCTTTGCAGCTATAACAGCTTCAACTCTTCTGGGAAGGCTGTCCACAAGGTTTAGGAGTGTGTCTATGGGAAGGTTTGACCATTCTTCCAGAAGCGCATTTGTGAGGTCAGGCACTGATGGCCTGGCTGGCAGTCTGCACTCTCATTCATCCCAAAGGTGTTCTATCATGTCTTTATGGACCTTGCTTTGTGCATTGGTGCGCAGTCATGTTGGAACAGGAAGGGGCCATCTCCAAACTGTTCCCACAAAGTTGGGAGCATGAAATTGTTCAAACTCTCTTGGTATGCTGACACCTTAAGAGTTCCCTTCACTGGAAGTAAGGAGCCAAGCACAACCCCTGAAAAACAACCCGACACCAATACTTTTGGCAACATAGTGTATAATACAGCATAAAGAGTATGGCAGCCAGGAGTATATAATGCATACAGTACGCTACAAAATCCTAAATACTGCATTGCATATTCTTGACCACTGATCTCTGTATGTTGTGCTGTCCCTCCCCACCAACTATAAATCTTCTCCAGTAAAAACCTTACCCTCTAAAAAAAAAAAGCAACACCCATCATTCACCTCTGCACCCTCTGTCCACAGCTTACCTTTGAACCTCCCATCTGTAGGCCACCTTTGCACCTCCCATTTGTAAGCCATCTCTGCACCTCTCTTTCACAGCTCACATGTGCACCAGTGCACCCCACCATCCAAAGCTCATCTCTGAACCTCCCATCCACAGCTCACCTCTGCACCCCACCATCCACAACTTATCTCTGTACTCCCAATCAAGCTCACCTCTGCACCCCTATCTAAAGCTCACCTCTGCACCCCTGTCCAAAACTCACCTCTAAACCTGTATCCAAAGCTAAGCTGTGCATGCCATCATCCTTAGTTCACCTCTGCATCCCTATCTACAACTAACCTCCACTCCACAGTTGTTCACAATTCACCTCTGCACACCTGTCCACATTTCGCCTCTGCACCTTATCTGCAGCTTACCTCTGCAACAACCCTTCCACAGCTCACCTCTGTACCCCTGGTCATAGCTGACCCACATCCAGAGGCAGGTGACTTCTGCACCCCCTGGGCCACAGCTCACCTCTGCACCCCTCTTCCACAGCTTATCTCTGCAAACTCCCACCCCCACTTTGTGAACAACTAAGCTCTGCAGCCTTCTTCCACAGTTCCTCTGTATCTCTCATCCACATTTCATTTCTGCACCCTCATTTCTGGCCTCTGCAACCCCCCCCCCCCCCCCAAACCTCACTTCTGCACAAACCCAATCTCCCCCCCCCCCCTTCATTGCACTCAGCTTCGCACACAAGCACCTCTCAATAGCTGGATCAGCTCTTGTTTCTCCCTTGGCTGTGGGTTTTTTTCCCCACACAGTGTAGCTCTGCCTCTCCCACCTGGTCAGCAGTGACACTGAGATCCAGCATGGCATGGATGTCAGCATCCAGACATCAGGAAAAATATGGGGATGGCGGAGGGTGCAGCTCACCATGAAGCACCAACTTCCTGCCCATGAACAAACTGAGCCTGGGGCAACTTCCCCTCCTGTACCCTCCCTTCCTTGCCCTGGCCTTGCAACTAAAACATGTGTCACATCCGGAGGACTGTTGAGAATTCTGAAATTAACTACAGTAGTCTGTGCTTCATACAGTCAGATTTGTCCTGTCCTGGGTGCGGCAGGAGCGACTTGCTGTTTGTACACTGAACACAGGGAGTCACTGGCTCCCATACCATTTAAAAAACATCTTGTATTTTTTTTCAATGAATACAAGGCATTCTCTTGCTTTTGCATAAAAAAATACAAGATCCTTGCTGAATGGCAGAGGTATGTAGCAAGCATCGGAAACAGGACAGTGCTAACTGTTTTACCATGGATGTGAACCATGTATAATATTATAAAACCAAGCTGGACTAATGTAAGTTTAAAAAATAGATGATTCCTAATAAATGCTGTAGAGTTAGGTCCCCTAACAATCAATTCTATCTTTCAGAGATGATTGATGTAATCTTCGTGCTGGATTCCTGGGTCTACACACCTGCTGTGTCCATCATAAGGAGCTCCAACCATACCTGCACTGACTTCCTAGGACTGCACACCTGCTGTGCCCATTATGGCGGACTCCAACCATCCCTGTTGATTTATATTCATTTTATAATATGTAGAATGTGAACAGTTAAAGTATGGGTGGGTGGGGCCACTCAAAGCTTTCCAATGGACAAGAACAGGGTTGGAAATAATGGCAGGGAAATCTCACTCTTGGACAACATTAAACACTTGATATATTCATCAAGGCAAAGGTATAGTACACTCTGACCCCACTTTAAGTATTCAGCCTGATCCTGGGGGCCAGATTGCAACTGACTAAGATTCCATGCACTAATGGCTCAGGCTCCTCCCTCTGATGCAATAGAGTTTATTTACGTAAAACATGTCAGAGGGAAGAACCCAAGAGAACTATGCATTGACTCGTAGTCAATAAACATTTATTTAGGATAGTAATCAGGTGCATGGCTTCCAAGTTTCATCAGTAAACAACAGTAGGCACATAAAAACGTACATAAAAGAGCAATTGTTTTGACATCTGAATCAATACATTGGCTTTTACATACAGTATTGGCTATGAATGTTAAAGTTTTACTAAACCCACAACAGTAAAATCAGGCTGTATATGCAGTAAAGCATGCTTGTTATGATAACTGTGGAATCTTCTGCATTGTGTAAAATGCAGTTTGATCCTGTCTTCTCGGATCCTCCCCTTCTTCCAGTGCTCCCCTCTTATCTCCTGATAAGACATATTTTGTGGAGACACTCTGCACATGCTCGGTCTGGTGTATTGCTAGAGAGGGTTTTCTTTTCTTAGGAGAGTGCATGTGATCAGCACAGGGCCAATCAGCACTGTCCAGACAGAGGTCAGGGGTTCTCCATCCTCCTAGAGCAGAAATAAAACTCCTTCTGATAAAAGTTACAAGACTGCTCTAACTGCTGGTGAGAAAAGGTATTTAGCAGTTTATATTTACTAAAATAATTGCACTTCCATGCTGTGTGTACTGTGGGAGACCAGACAGAGTGAATGCAGGGTCCTTTAAGAACAACACTTTTGCATAATTAATGTTTTAGATTTAGAGATCATTTCAAGTTAAATAGAAGAAAGGTAAATCCTATCCAATAATTCTACAAATTTCACCACATGCAGACAAGGCTCCTACATACCTATCAATGCTTAAGTATCGCATGTTTTTGTTAACGCCATCCACCCTTTGCATGTCCTCATCACTCAGCTGAAAGTCAAAGAGCTGCAAGAAAGCAACAAAACAAGTATGACTACAAAGAAGATATGTTAAGAAGAAACAGTGGACAGATTTACACAGCCCTGTCTGGCAGGACAGGAGACATGATTTTTAAGATTTATAGGTCTTGTCTTTCCCTCTGTCTGTGATTGGACAGTGGAAGGAGAAGACTGATGAGCTCATCTTTCTGTCACTTTGCTCTCTCTCCCTATCATCATGTTCCTTATTAGCACATGAGCACCACAGCACAACTGATTGGCTCTTTGTGCAGCTGTAAAAAGTGTGAGACAATAGCTGGCAGAATTGTGGGGAGTGTGTACGTGTCTTCAAGGCAGTTTTGCCAACCATCAGTATTTTTACAGGCAGCTAGTAAAAAAAACAGCACTTTTCTCCTGCCAGTAAATGCCTGTGACAGAAAAGGTTGCCAGTTAAAAATATGGCTGTGACATTGCGCTCAGAACTGTGCTGAACAGAGGTCTGGCAGAGGCGATGCCTGAGCATGTTATGTGATGCCATGGTGCAAGGGAGCTGAGCTGAGCGGCTGGAGCCTTGTGCGCGGGTCCGCAGGATGGGAGCAAGGCAAGCAGAGAGGGGAACGGTCAGAGGTGTTTGGACTGAAGGGACCACCTGGGGTGGAGAAAGACTGTCACTGTGACTCAGGAGGAGATGTGTCATGTCAGTGAGGTCTCATCATCATCTGTGCTGCTGCACACTTCTTTCAGTGTTATTGTGAGAGTCCTGTCCCTGAGCTACTTACTATATTATTATTATTATTATTATACAGTATTTATAAAGCGCCAATAGTTCGCTCAGCGCTGGATTATATTGAAAAAAAAATTAGTAATATGTTTTTTCCCTTAATATCTACCTTACATCACATTGTTAATTGTATATTGTACTTGTTTGCAGCCTGATATTTGCACTTAAAACTGAAATTCTTTAACTTTTGGAAATGCCGGTAAAAACTTGGCTGTGCAAGTAAAATTTGTATGTCGTGTCACTAAAATTTCAATCTGGTAGGTTGGCAACACCGCTCCTAGGTTTTTTATCTATTCTATTCTATGTGAGGGGCTTTGGGTAGTGGTGCACCGAAATTAAAATTCTGGTGCTGAAACCGAAAATTCAAAATGCACTTGGCTGAAAACCGAAACGCTCAGTTTTAAAAATGAATATATTTTTTTTTTAAAAAAATACACTGATTAAAAAAAAAAATACAATGTATACCCCAATTTTTTTTTTTAAATATGAAAGAGGATGTTACAGCGAGTAAATTGATACCAGCATGTCATGCTTTAAAATTGTGTACACTTGTGGAATGGCCTAAAACTGCAGTACTTTAAAATCTCCATGGCTGATGCTTTAAAAATTTCTACAGGTTAGCAGTGTAAAGCTACAGAGGAGGTCTAGTGTGAGAAATATTGCTGTTGCTCTGACGTTCGTGGCGATACTTCATGTGTGTGGTTTGAACACCATTTACATATGTGGGCATGGCCTATGTATGCGTTCACCACTATGTACGAGCACGGGGGGGACTGGGGCACTTTAAACTTTTTTTTAATTAATTTATTTAATGTTCTTGGGATTTTTTGCACTGTCCCCTTAAAAAAATTTTTTAATCACTTTTATTCTTATGACAAGAAATGCATGCATCCCTTGTGATAGAAATACTTAGTGACAGGTCCTCTTTATGGAGAGATGTGGGGTTAATAAGACCCCACATCTCTCCTCTACAATGTAAAACGTTGGATAAAAAAAGCATCGATCTAGTGCTTTAAAAATAAATTAAAAATGGCCAGAACGGGAAGTGACATCGTTTCGGTCCTCCAAGGGCATAGAGATGAGTGGCGGCCATTTTTTCCTTCACTCATCTCTATGCCCAGTGCTGGGATCGATGGTTTCTCAGGTAAGGCTGAGAATTACCGAGCAGCGGTCAGTGCCGGCAGCGGCAAGGGGCACGGTTTTTTCGGCATCTGTATTGGTGCTTTTTTTTTTCATTTCGGCCAAAATGTTTCAGCCACCAAAATTTCAGTGCATCCCTAGCTTTGGGGTTTACGGCTGATATGGAGAAAACAGATTTTGTTCTCTCAGATTTTAATAGCTTAATAAGACCCTGATAAAACATACTGTACATTCTGGGCTAGGTCCTGGAGCGCAGAGGTTTTGTAGAGCTGTGGACTTCATGTTAAGGTCCACATGACACCAGACCTCATTACCAGTCTTAGCTGCTGCTGGTTGAAAAGGTTGATTGCTAACAGAATACTTAAAAAGGTTCAAGCACTGCCAGTTTGTTTCAAGGAAGCCATTAGAAGACATCCTGTTAGTCAGGAAAAGACCTGAGTTTAGTTAGTGGCTCAGGTGAGAAGGTGTTTTGTTTGTTTTATGCTATGGACTCGGTGTACAAAGTCCTCCTGCATTGAATTGTGTTAGTTTTCTTCATTTCTGAAGAAAACCCATGAAAATCCATGAGACAGAGACACCTATGAATAATCCAAGTAGGTTTGCCCTGCATGTTTATGCAGGGCAAACCTACTTGGATTATTCATAGGTGTCTCTGTCTCATGCATGGTTTACTGCTCTCAATACTAGTTGACCCTATCACCCTGACAAAAAGAAGGTCCTATTATTGGCCATAAAGTTGCACAAATATCTCAGACAAGTTCAGGCTTAGTCCCCCTTCTTTGGAGAAAAGAGAATAGATACATCTGCCTAAGCCTTACGGGATCTGGGATCCCACCAATAACATTGCATAGATATTGCATGCACATTGTGAATTTCCAACACCTGCTCCAATTCCTTGTCAAATTTCAAAATATACTGATAGGTTGCTTCTTACAAAATTGGCTTTAGATTGTATATCTTTGGTGGGGACTGCAAGCTACTTTGCAGAGATACCGTAGTTGATGCTGAACTTATGGTTCAGTATGCTCTAAAAAGGGCTGAAAACTTTATATAAAGCCCCTTTTTTATTACTGAACAGGCAAGTTGTTACCTCATGGAGGAGATTCATTACTTACTGTTCCCGTGGCAGCCATATAATCACTACATCTCTTGTACCTGTATACCCCTTACTGACCAAAACAGTTGTTACAGTTCCATTATAGGCCTGCTTATTTACCAATAACATTGTCATTATTTAAAGTGGATGTAAACTTCAGACATGAAATATGAACAAAGCATTTCCCTCTATAGTATGTACGTATCTCAATTAAGAGGACTAAGTGTCATTTCTGTCTGCTGCTTTGTTCCTCTGTTATCAGTATGAATTATTTCTGACAAGCTTTCCTGACACCAAGAGAAAAATGGTGACAGGGGAGAGACCTCTTGCAGATTGACAACCTCAGCTCTGTTTCTGTGTGCTGTGTAGAGGGGGTGTGTCTCTTCCCTCCAATCAGCTCTCAGAGCTCTCATCAGTGAGCTCTGCAGTGTGTAATTTCAGCTCTTTGCCTCTTTTTTTCTGGACTGTCAGTCAATTTTTTTTTAAAAAGATATAGAGAGGAGAAGACTGCAGATAGACAGGCACAACTTATGTAGGAGGATTTGTCTAATCTCTGTGTATCACCTGAGGCCAGTCACTTCACTGGGTATATATAAGGGTTTACAACCAGTTTAAGATAACACAGTAATTCATACATTATTTTTTGAGGAGGACAGGCCTAGGCTTTTTTTGCAATGGTTTGCATTTTTTTTTAATTTTCTATGTAATCTTTAGGCATAAAAATGTAAAAAATGAAAAAAAATCTATTCTTTAGTTTTCACCATTGTTTTTGTAGACTATATGTTAGCATCATATTACACAGGGACAGCTGCATTTTGATGGCCCCTCTTACTATGTAATAGAAAGCTATTACCAGCTGTCACTTTGACAGCCAGTAATTGCCAGTGCTTTTGGCGGGGGAGTGTTATCAGGGGGAGATGAACTGGATGCATCCCATAAACTTTGTTGATGTGTTTTAGGATGTATCTCTTACTTTGAAAATCCTCAAGTGCTTATTGAGGGTACAGTAATTGGGACGGGAAGACATAGGCAGCAATAACATTATAAGATGTTCACTTCCTCAGCCCACTAAACGTGATTTTGTTTATTTTTATATATATATATATATATATATATATATATATATACATTTTTGGGGTTATTTTGTTTTTTGTTTTTGTTTTTTGTTCTTTGCTTCCCTATTGCAAAGTACCCAACTGTGTATCTGTTGGGGAAATATAACCAACTGACACAGAGAATACTAAAAACATGACAGAGATTCTAACCCTTCTATGCTTTATCTAAACCAGAACAACCCCTTTTTGCTGGAGCTGAGCTTCCAACTGTCAACACATCTGGACGGTCAATATTTCTGTTTTAATCACCTGGAAGTTTTGTTTGATTCTCTCTGCGGTGAAGCTCTTTGCAAGGACAACAATCCCTCTCTGCAGTAGATAACGCATTGCCACCTGCGCTGCTGACCGTCCAACTTTCTTTGCCACTTCTATGACAACAGGATTTTCCAGCACATAAGGTAAGTTTTTGTCTATCCTTTTACAGAAAAGAAAAGAAGCTTATTTTTTTTTCTGTTTTCAATATTAAAAGTAGATTCCAAACCCTAAAGCTGGCCATACACAGCAAGTTATTTTTTGCTTAGCCAAACAAGGTGGATGGAGGGATACTCCTTCCAGAACACTGATTTCTGACATGGAATGGTTTGAGATACCTGATGCTTTAACAAATTCAGTTAGGGTTTACACCTGCAGCATAAAAAAAAATAATAATATTTTAAAGTAAGTTAAAGAAGGGTCCCATAAAGCACTATGTTCACTTAAGCTATCTTCATGAAAATAACCTAAATGTAAATTCAGAAAAATTACATCTGTGACAGAAAAACATTTCCCATTCCTCCAACAGTTACACAATATGCATGTGAAAAAAAATGTGAAGGAAGTAGTTATTGAGGGCTAAATAATAGGGTTATATTAAGGGTTAATTGGGAAACACTTTCATTAACCCATTGGCCTCCAGAGGATTTACCCCCCTTCCTGACCAGGCCATTTGCGATACGGTGCTGCGTTACTTTAACTGACAAATGCACGGTCATGCAACGCTGTACATAAATGAAATATATGTCCTTTTTTTCCCCACAAACAGAGCTTTCTTTCTGTGGTATTTGATCGCCACTGTTTTTTTATTTTGCGCTATAAACAAAAAAAAAGAAAATTCTAATTTCCTCATAAATTTAGGCCAAAATGTATTCTACTACATGTCTTTTCTACAAAAAAATCCCAATATGTGTAAATTAATTGGTTTACATGAAAGTTATAGCATCTACAGATGGCAGTATATATACTGGAATTTTTTTTTATTTTTTTTATACTAGTAATGGAGGCGATCAGTGACTTATAGTGGGACTGCATTGGGCATTCTGACACTGGGTGGGAACTGACTAACTGCCACTGACATCCCCAGTGACACTAATACAGTGATCAGTGCTAATAAAAAGCACTGACACTGTACTAATGACACTGGGCAGGAAGGGATTAACTTTTGGGATATCAAAGGGTTACATGGTTAGTCTGGCTGAAAAAAGACAAACGTCCATTCAGTTCAACCATTAAACAAAAAAAAAAAAAGTTATAATCCTATACCCACAGTTGATCCAGAGGAAGGCAAAAAAACAGCAAAGCATGATCCAATTTGCTCCTGATCCCCGAGAGGCAATCTGATATTCCTTGGATCAACTTTACCTATAAATTTTAGTATCCAGTTATATTCTGTGTATCCAAGAAAGAATCCAGGCCTTTTTTAAAGCAATCCACTGAGCTGGCCAGAACCAACTCTTTTTTTTGTTTACAAACGATTTTATTGAGTATAAGTAGACAATAAAATAACAGCACATTTTCAAATATTAACAGCAAAAACAAGGCACTTTGGAAAAGTACAATTCAGAAAAAGATATCATAATAATGAAGAGAAAAAACAGAAGAAAAGCAGATTGCAAGTACATGAAATACGTTAATGATAAGAGAAATTGAAGAATACGTCTGTCAACAGCATCTGTCAGTCATTGTTCACTGAAAACGTTATCAATCATGCAATAAATGTCTATAATCCCTCCATGACTCCCATTTTTTATCAAATAAGTGCATCTTATCCAGCAAAGTATAATGAATGCGTTCCATGAGCATTACAGCATCAATTCTGTGCAGGATGGAGGCCAAAGGTACAGCATTGGATCTCCAGTGTAAGGCAATAGACCATAAAGTGGCAATACAAATAGTATGTATCAATCTCATAATGGCATCAGGGACCCCTGGGATGTGAGCCCCCAACAGACAAGTTTGAATAGATAAGCATACTGGGGTACCCGCCAGTGAGGTGGCCACCTCGGATATCCTGCGCCAAATCAGAGATATGGACGGGCAATCCCAAAAATATATGCACCAAAGTGCCTGTAAAACCACAGTCTCGAAAACATAGAGGGGACGTTTGTGGGTACAATCTATGTAGTCTTGATGGGGTATAATACCATCTAGTTAAAACCTTAAGGGCCATTTCACGAACCGAAAGAGATCGAGAGCTTTTACAGATATTATCCACCATGGAATCCCAATCCTCATCAGAAAAAGTGGTACCACTATCCTCCTCCCACCTCTGTCGGTACAACGGAGGCGTATGAAAAAGACAAAGTAAAGATTGGTGATAAAAATTGGAAATAAGACCCCTACCCCTGGGAGAGTCACGGCTGGTACGTTCAAAAAAGGAAACCAGAGAAGACGGTGTAAGGCCAGAATGTGATTCAAAAAAGTGTCTAATCTGTCGGTAACGATGGTACTCGCGAAGGGGAATATCAAAAAGCGCGCGTAGCATATCAAAGGTAATGTAAGATCCTCCTCTTTGAAAATCAGATAATCTGATAAGAGATTGATCATACCACCAACGAAACAGTTGAGGAGAAGAAAAAGCTGGTGTAAAAGTTGGATCACCAAAAAAATGAAATACCAGGGGGAATAGGAGAGACCAAATTTAATTTAAATTTGTATGTGGACCAAAGTGTCATTGAATGGGTCACTATGGAGTTATAAAATGTAAGTGAACGTGGAGAGACCCTGGACCACAAGATGCTCGGTAAGTAGAATGGGCGTATATGGACTGAGATTCAAATTTGACCCATGGGATCTGAGAGTTAATAGTTGCCCACTGTGATAGCTGCGCAAAACGAGCCGAAAGATAATATATCCAAAAATTGGGAAGACCGAGGCCTCCAGTCCGTTGTGAGCGGTATAAAATCGCTGAGGCAAAACGTGCACGCTTATTACCCCAGATAAAATTATTAATGGTCCGCTGAAATTGGCTCAGAAACGTTTTTGAGACTGGAACTGGAAGAGCTCTAAAAAGATAAAGAAGTTTAGGCAAAATATTCATTTTAACAGCCGTGACTCTACCCAAGAAGGAAATAGGATAACCATGCCAAATCCTCAGTAGAGTAGATAGACGTGATATACACGGTGGATAATTAGCAGCAAATATATCTGAATAACTGGGAGTGAGATTAACACCTAAATAGGATATCCGGTCTGTAGACCAGCGGAATGGGAAGGAGCTGCGGAGAGATGCACTTAGGGAATCAGGAATATTAATCGGCATAACTACCGATTTGGTAAAATTAACAGTAAGACCTGACGTTATAGCAAAATCATTCAGTATAACACATAAATTAGGCAATGAAGTCAACGGGTTAGTAAGAAAAAGCATAACATCATCAGCATACATGCTCATTTTAAATTGTGAGACTAACAACGGGTAACCTGAAATATCCGGGTGTGATCTGATCGCTACTGCAAGGGTTCCAACACCAGTGCAAATAAAAGGGGTGAAAGGGGACAGCCCTGACGGGTACCTCTACCCAATGTGAAAAAGTCTGAATTGCAGCCAGGGAGCCCGTATTCTTGTCTTCGGAGAGTCATATAAGGCGTGTATACCGGCTAAAAATTCGTTATTAAAGCCCATTTTTCGTAGCAAGGAAAACATATAGGGCCAAAGAACACTGTCAAAGGCCTTGTTTATATCCAGACTCATCAGCAAGACCTCTTTAGAATGTAAATTAGCATCTTGAATAACGTTGAGCGTGAGGCGAATATTATCAGTGATAAATCTGTCTGGGATAAATCCAGATTGGTCCGGAGAGACCAAAGAGGAGATAATAGGGGCCAACCTGTCCGCCAAGATGCGGCTAAATATTTTCAGATCATTATTCATTACGGAGATTGGTCTATAGTTTTGTGGTAAGCTGTGATCTTTCTGTGGTTTGGGTATTAAAGACATGTTAGCCAACAGCATCTCCTCCGGGAACCTACCCCCCTGCAAAACATCATTAAATAAAGTTATCAGATAGGGAGCCAAAGTAGAGGCAAAATGTTTGTAATAACTAGCAGTGAACCCGTCTGGACCTGGCGCAGTAGAGCTTTTCTGGGCGCTAATTGCACGAGTTATCTCCTCCAGAGTGCAAGGGGCATTAAGGGAAGCAACTTGAGAAGGTGTGAGAGCAGGGAGGGGTATAGAATCCAGCCATGAGGCCGCTGGTGAAACAGAATCCGACCGTGGAGGGGCTAATAGGTTAGAATAAAAGTTTTCAAAAATGCCCAAAACCTCCTGAGGCAGAGATGAAATAGCACCCGAGTTAGTACGCAATTTTATAAATATGTGGGGGGCGCATGGAGTGATTCAGTTTCCTTGCAAACATAGAGGAAGCCGAGTTGCTATGTAACAAAAATGTGGCTTTTGACCAGCGGAGAGCTTTTTCAGTTTTTTGGGATAGCAGAGTATTCAATTCTAAGCGCTTTTGAGATAGTAACTGTTTATTAAGAAAAGATGGGTTAGCAATATGACTTCGGTAATGTGCTTCCAATTCTCGGGTAAGAAGCAGAATTTGCTGCCATCGTTTTCTATTTTTGGATGAAGCCATAGAAATAAGGCGGCCTCGTAAGACCGCCTTATGGGCTACCCATAATGTGGCTGGAGAAATATCAGGAGTCGAATTAGATTGAAAATATTCCAAAATAGATGCAGCTACTTCATGGCGGGAGTCAACATCCGTAAGCATAGAATCATTGAGTCTCCATGAGAAGGGAGTGGGTGCAAGTCCCATACATGTGATAGACAAGGCTATAATATTGTGATCCGACCAAGGACTCAAGTGGATGTTCGCTATCCTAGAGTTTGCTAATAAAATAGGGGTGCAATAAATATAGTCTAATCTAGCATAAGAGTCATGTGGGTGAGAATAAAATGAATATTCTCTAGCTCCTACATTATGCGCCCTCCAGGCATCTACTAATTGGAAGGCCTCTAGTCTTTTAGTAAGTGATTTTGGGAAGGCGTGGGAAGAGTGCAAGAGTGAGCTACGGTCCAAAAGAGGATTTGCTACCAGGTTGAAATCACCACCCACCAATAGATGGGGTGACAAAAATCTATCAAGAACATCAAAAAATTTTGAGAAAAAGGTAGCTTGTGCCGAATTCGGTGCATAGACATTTGCTATTGTAAGTTCTCGGCCTGAAAGGGTGCCCTTAAGAATAATAAACCTACTGTCTGGATCACGGTACACATGTTGAACCTCAAAGGGGATTGAATTATGCAGAAAAATGGCCACCCCTCTACTCTTGGAGGAGTGTAAAGTATAATACCCTTGTCTATAGGATTTGTGAAAATATGTCGGGTGTTTTGCGGCTGCAAAATGTGTTTCCTGCAATAAAATAATTTTAGCCCCTAATCGCCTATACTGAAGAAAGGCTGTTTTGCGCTTGTTTGGCGAGTTGAAACCCTGGACATTATGCGAGATACATTGAATTGCCATAATATGCAAAAATTATTACCATCAGCAAAAAAATATACATTGACAAGACATATACTCGAATTATTTGGCTAGATGTAAGGACCTTCAAGTCCATAGCAAATAGATTTACGGGTAGCATCACCAGTCTGGGGGACATCCAGACCCCAAAATGGGGGTCGTGACGTCCACACACCGGTATCAAGTCAACATCATGTACGAAAATTTTTGAGGAAAAAAAAGACAAAAAACAGTAAAAGTGAAGCAATGATAGCTGCGACAATGAAAAGAGTAACTGAGAGAGACATGGATCAGGTATGCAATTAGCTGTACCTGAAAAAACAAAAAATTTCAACATCAAAGGGCCAATCGGGCCCAAACCCTGTCTCCATAACACATGAGAAACGGAGCCGTCACCCCACAATCGGGCGGTGAGTCCCCCGGTCATGTCAGGAGGCAGGGTGGGGTAACGTGTCCAAGAGTTGAGAGGCCATGAATCAGTGGGCGATATTCAGAGGGCCCGAAGACCCTTGTTAGACTTAAACACATCCAGTTATCAACGAGAGAGCATATATAGTTTATATAAACACAGAAACAGCTCAACCGCGTCCACAAAAACACATATATATATCCCCAAGGTGTAGGGGGTGCTGAACAATAGACATCCCGTGGGTTGCCTCCTATCCCAATCAAGGGAAATCGCTGACCAGGAACATCGATGCAAGTAATAATAGGCAGGAAGGCATGGTCCCATCAGCCCAGTTCTTGTCGGGCCCTTCTCCTTTCCCTCCGTGGAGATGGAGGTGTGCCAGATAGGAGAGACACGAGGTGTAGGGGGGGGACGTCGAGGTGATGGGGCATCCGCCAGGCCCAACTTGGTCAGGATCTCTCTGCCCTCAGGAAGGGATGTGTAGCAATATATGTGCTCCTATTATGTGGAACTATCAACTTAAAAGGGAAGCCCCATTTATAACGGATACGAGCTGAAAAAAGAGCCGTTGTAACCTCCTTCATTTTCCTGCGCTTCTCCAATGTAGCCGGAGAAACATCTGGAAAAATTTGTAAAACCGAGCCTTCAAAGGAGATCGTTGGAGTGTTGCGAGCAGCTCTGAGTATGTCTTCTTTGGTCAGGAAATCTTTTAGACACAGAACAATGTCCCTAGGCGGTTTATCACTAGGGGGTTTAGGGCGCAGGGCTCTATGGATGCGATCACAGGCAAAGGATCCGGGATTGCAATCCGGAAGGAGAGATTTGAATAGCTTGGTAACGGTTTGTGAGAGATCAGAAACAGATTCCGGAATTCCCCTGACTCGCAGATTATTTCTGCGGTTGCGATTATCAAGGTCTTCAACCTGTGCCTGCAATTGTAAAAAGGCCGTGTGTAGATGATCATGTTCTCTGGAAAGGTCCCCATAGGCTAGGCTAAGTTCATCATGTTTAGTTTCCAAGCGATCGGTTCTAGAGCCCAATGTGGCTATTTCCTGAGAGAGAACATTAGTGCTTTTGTGTAATTCTGATTGGAATTTGGCGGCCAATTTGGTATACATGGTTTCCAAACAAGATTCCAGGTCACCCTTTGTAAGTTGCTGTGCATCTTCACTGACCAGAGTTAATGAAGGAGTTGTGATATCACGCAAGGGTTCGGATGGGGATGCTCGTTCTGCGTCACCTAGAGACATGTTGCAAATCTCATGTGTCTTAAGTAGATATGTAGTGAGGGACTTTTGAGCTTGTCCCTTCTTTTTTTTGGTGGACGGCATACAGAGAGTCTCCCGGGGGTGATCAACTGGAAATTGGATGATAAAGGGAGATAAATGACCCCAGGGGACCTATAACGCCCGAATCAGGTTTAGGGTTGTATTTACATAAACGCTGTCAAGCTTATCCGAAAAAACTTTATATTGTAAGTACAGTTAGCAAGCCATGAGGATGTGGAGTGGACATAGGCCGTGGTGCACCCCATTAATAGCTCCAGGGTCTGGGATGAACAGGGGGGCAAGTATAGGATAGAGGATCCCTTATGATGGCCTAATAATCCTCCAGAGCAAGCATAGTCTGCCCATACATCCCTCCAGGGCAGTATACAAGCCTCAGTGGGTTTCTGGGCCCAGCAAAGGCCCCAATCACAGAGGAACGGGTCCCTGGAGTGGTGAGCGGGAGCCCCGTCCCCCGAGACGTCAAAGGGGGATAGGATGGTCAGTGTCTACCAGCCTTCTGCACTCACCGTAGCTCGGATGTGAGGAGGAGGAGATCCGGGCCGGATGCAGTAGGCCGCAGCCACAGGGAACGGCAATATGCTGCTCCGTCTCCTCCCCAGGTCCAAGGGATGCAGAGGATGTCACCAACGTCACAGGAGGGTCCGCCGCCGCCCGGATGATAGCGGATGCAGGCAGAAACCTCCGGAGTCACGGACCATGCGGCCGCGCTAGGCCGCGCGCATCCCACCGCCACAGATGGCGGAGATATCCCCCAGGGCTTCTCTCCCAGGCACAGGGGAAGCACCCAAGGAGCCAGCCGCTCCGCCGTGGTCCGCAGCAGCACGGATGGCGGTGGATTGTGTAGGTCGGCGACGGAGCTCCGGATTATGCGGCCGCTCCGGTCGCCATCTTGGACACGCCCCCCAGAACCAACTCTTGAGGGAGTCTATTCCACATGTTCACAGCTCTCACAGAGAAGAAACCTTTCCGTGTTTGGAGCTTACATTTCTTTTCCTCCAGACGTAAAGAGTGCCCCCTTGTCCTCTGTGATGACCTCAGGGTGAATAGCTCTACACCGAGTTCACTATATGAACCACTGATGTATTTATACATGTTGATCATATCCCCCCTTAATCTCCTCTTCTCAAGAGTGAATACATTCAGTTCCTCTATTCTTTCCTCATAGCTGAGCTCCTCCATGCCTCTTATCAGTTTGGTTGCCCTTCTCTGTACTTTCTCCAGTTCCCCAATGTTCTTTTTGTGAATTGGTGCCGAAAACTGAAATTACATATTCCAGATGATTGGTTACCTGTGTGCTGTGTGTGTTTTTACTATGTGTACTGTATTTTCTTTTACTAGGGGGGCATGCTGTTTTGTATCTCTCTGATATGCAGAAAGATACAAAACAGTATGTCCATGCTGACAGGGTAGAGACCTGTGTTGTTTATACAAAGGGCTCTCCCCTGTCAGCTTTACCTGGCGATCTTCGAGTTCCGGCTAGGACCTGGTGATTTTATATTTATGCGTGATTTTGCGCAGCCCTGCCGCCCGGTAGCAGTACTTCTACTATAGGGTGGCGGGCAAGTGGTTAAAAACAAAATTAAACTTTTTTTTTCCTTTCAGTGTTCCTGAACTTTGGTTTTTCTGTAAAATTGAAACATAAGTGTTCAGATTTTAGTGGATACTTTTAAGAAAAAGCTATTTTAACCAATCAAAGCTGAATTAGTTGCTTAGATCAGCTATGACTCAAGGAACAGAACCTTTGCTGTCATGCTAGTATAGGTAGCTGCATGAGTGGACTTGGACAGAGGATGAAAGAACTCTGGGGCATATGAGATATTGCTCTAGGTCATTGGTCTCCAAACTGCAGGCCAGGGGCTGGATGCAGCCTTTTGCTTGCTTTTATCTGGCCCTTAGGGCATTCTACATCCTTCTGTCAGCAACAGGGGTGCATAGTTCCTGCCACTGACACCAACAATAGGGCACTGTTCCTCCCAATGACACCAATGGTGAGTCACTATTCCTCCCGCTCACATCAATGATGGGACACTATTCCTCCTCCTAATACCAAAGAGGGGACACTGTTTACTGCCATCGACATCAAGACATTTTTCTACTCCTGCTGGCCACAGTCTGGCCCCCCTAAAGTTTGCAGGACAGTAAGCTGGTCATATGTTTAAAAAGTTTGGAGACCCCTCGATCTAGGTCCTTAACTAGTTACATTTGCACTTACCAGCCCTCAACTCTGCTGGATCCCAAGACGCTGTACCCAACCAGTACAATGTCTTTAGATTTGCAGAATTCCAGCAGTTTACTCTGATTTAAAAATATGTGGCACTCCACCTGCAGAGAAAAACATTGTACTGGGTTAGGGAGAACTCCATGTTAAAACCATAGAATTGTTTTATTTATTTATTTCAGGTACTTGTATAGCACTGTCAATTCACGCAACGCTTTACATATATATTGTACATTCACATCAGTCCCTAACTCTCAAGGGGCTTACAATCTAAAGTCCCTAACTTACATTCATACATATACTAGGGACAATTTAGATGGGATACAATTAACCTACCAGCATGTCTCTGGAGTGTGGGAGGAAACCGGAGTACCTGGAGGAAACCCATGCAGGCACAGGGAGAACATGCAAACTCCAAGCAGGTGGTGCCGTGGCTGGGATTCGAACCAACTGCCAGGCGGAAGTGCTAACCATTTAGCCACTGTGCTGCCCAGTTTTATTATATATCCATTGACACATAGCTAGAACTCTACTTAAATTTCACTAAAATGAGATGAAGGCCATTCTCATGGGTAGTCAAGCACCAAGCCTTGCAAGAAGGCAGCAGTAAGCCACTATGACATCTCTTGTACAACTGGAAGCATCAAAAACTGTGGCCAAGGTAACTTTTCGTTAATGCTTTATTTTGAGAATTTTTTTTTAACTAATTTGTTTGCGGGATGGGGGACTGGAAGTAAAATGTACCTTCCAATTTCATGGAAGGCCTACTTTAGAACTGATGAAGCCACCTAAATGGCAAAACATCTTCTACATTACAGAACAGGTCCAGCTGAATGGAACCAATTACTGCTCGCTATACCCTGACCTAGATAAATGAGATCCTTAACCGACAATGGCATTGGTAAGAACACTGGTACTTCTAGAACTGATATAAAAACACCTAGTGCATGTTTCCCTTTTTTTCTATAAAATAGCTTTGTTCCCATTTAATCACTGTAGTTACCTGGTTACAGACAGGTTTATACTTCAGTCCCGGCGCATTTAGGATCAGCTCCAGTTGTTTGCTGTTAAAGTTAGACACTCCGATTGATCTGACTAGTCCAGCATCTTTACAAGCCTCCATAGCCTGGAAATCACCAGTTACATAATTAGTTTGAAAAAAATAAACACGTTTTCAAATATACATAAAATGTGTACAACCAGTACCTGTAGAACAATACTTCATGTTTTTACATCTCTTGCAGTGGTTTAAAGAGAACCCTTTCTATCTGTTTAGGTTAAAGCCTAACTCAGCCAATTGTATCCATCATGCAACAGGGAGACAACACCGATCACAATTGGGAATCAGGGGTAGAGAGGAGTGACCTCACAAAATAAATGCCTAATTAGAGACCTTCATTGTAGGATCTTCATGTATTATCTTAATGAAAGATGAAGAATTAAAAATATTGAAAATTACTTTTGAATTGACAACAACATTAAAGGATATTTGAGATTTTACTGAGCCCAGAATCAATTACTAAATTTCCCAGCTTACCTTCCAGGTATCCCGGATATCGGTGTTGTGAAAAATTACTTTTCCATTTTCATCTTTGGGAAATAGATTGTCTCCAGGCTGGGAAGAAACAGGGAGAAGTAGAGACAATGTTCACATTCTGGTTTATATTGGAGTATCGGTCATAAGAGATACACCAACTGTACTAAGTGGGGCATTTAAAAAGTAGTGTTGTGACCATACCATATGCAGCAGCAATCTTATCTTAATCACAATACTGAATTTAAAATATAATTAAGGGAAAATTCTTTCTTTTTCAGCCAAGAAATACAAAAATGAAATTACAAAGTTCAACTTTAGAACACTGAAAGTTTAGCATTGCTGGACTTCTCTGGATCCTGTGCAATGCACATCGGTCTTTCCATTACTGAATAAACCTGTCTATTTCAATCAATAAAAAAACTTCAGACGAGTAACAAAGTGATTTGAATCATTAAGCTGTGTGTGTAATTAAAGCTGGCCATAGATGGTTCAGATCTCAACAGTCTCCCCAGTCAACACTTTCTGTGTTGATGGGAGAATCGAGCGAATTTCTTTCCTGCAACTTGTGGTTGCAGGAAAGAAATTTGCACCATCTATGGCCTGTCTAAAGCTTGAGCTATTAAGCTGTGTAAACAAGAATCAATTTGATTAGCCTAGTGAACATACAGTACGAAAATGAGGCTAAAAACCCCAACAGCTGAGAGGTGTTAGTAAATATGAAATGATCATATTCAATATTTCATAATTATCTAACGGCATGAAAAATAATTATATTTGTTGTTTTATTCTTTTTAATTCTGTATCCTTGACCATAGGCAATATTATAGAATATTAAAGTAGAACAATAGGCAAAAATTAGAGTAAGGGAGTGTTATAACTAGAGATGAGCGAATTATTCAAAAATTCGATTCGGCTGATTCGCCGAATTTGTGGAATAAATTTGATTCGATGCGAATTTATTCGCTGCGAATTTAACTTATAAAAAGGGTTTCTAGGCTTCAGAGAGCCTTTATATTAGTGCAGAACACTGTACCTTTAATTTAAATGCCCTTGGAGTCTGCTGGGGAAGAGAAATAATACTGTCAGTCAGTATGACATGCAGATGAGTGCCGTCGATCTTAGAATCACCGCACACTTCACTCATTTGGGAAGAAGAAGAAGAAGAAGAAGTAGGATGAGGAAGGAGAAGAAGAAGAAGAAGTAGGATGAGGATGAAGAATAAGAAGAAGAAGAAGAAGAAGAAGAAGTAGGATGAGGAAGAAGAAGAAGAAGAAGAAGAAGTAGGATAAGGATGAAGAAGAAGAAGAAGAAATAGAAGAAGAAGAAGTAGGATGAGGATGAAGAAGAAGAAGAAGAAGAAGTAGGATGAGGATGAAGAAGAAGAAGAAGTAGGATGAGGATGAAGAAGAAGAAGAAGAAGAAATAGAAGAAGAAGAAGTAGGATGAGGATGAAGAAGAAGAAGAAGTAGGATGAGGATGAAGAAGAAGAAGAAGAAGTAGGATGAGGATGAAGAAGAAGAAGAAGTAGGATGAGGATGAAGAAGAAGAAGAAGAAGAAGTAGGATGAGGATGAAGAAGAAGAAGAAGAAGAAGTAGGATGAGGATGAAGAAGAAGAAGAAGAAGAAGTAGGATGAGGATGAAGAAGAAGAAGAAGAAATAGAAGAAGAAGAAGTAGGATGAGGATGAAGAAGAAGAAGAAGAAGTAGGATGAGGATGAAGAAGAAGAAGAAGAAGAAGTAGGATGAGGATGAAGAAGAAGAAGAAGTAGGATGAGGATGAAGAAGAAGAAGTAGGATGAGGATGAATAAGAAGAAAAGAAGGATGAGGATGAAGAAGAAGAAGAAGTAGGATGAGGATGAAGAAGAAGAAGAAGAAGGAGAAGGATGAGGATGAAGAAGAAGAAGAAGTAGGATGAGGATGAAGAAGAAGAAGTAGGATGAGGATGAAGAAGAAGAAGAAGTAGGATGAGGATGAAGAAGAAGAAGAAGAAGAATTAGGATGAGGATGAAGAAGAAGAAGAAGAAGAAGAAGTAGGATGAGGATGAAGAAGAAGAAGAAGTAGGATGAGGATGAAGAAGAAGAAGAAGAAGAAGAAGAAGAAGTAGGATGAGGATGAAGAAGAAGAAGAAGAAAGAAGTAGGATGAGGATGAAGAAGAAGAAGAAGAAGAAGTAGGATGAGGATGAAGAAGAAGAAGAAGTAGGATGAGGATGAAGAAGAAGAAGGATGAGGATGAAGAAAGAAGAAGAAGAAGAAGAGGATGAGGATGAAGAAGAAGAAGAAGAAGAAGAAGTAGGATGAAAATAAGAAGAATTCCAGTGCAGCAAAAAGTGTATCTGCAGAGAGCTCCGCTATTTCTGACAGTTCTCTGACAGTTCCTTCACATTTACAGCGGTTGAAACATTGTATCTATTTGTTTCCGAATAAAAACATCTGTATCCTAAATGGAAACAAATAGATACAATGTTTCAACCGCTGTAAATGTGAAGGAACTGTCAGAGAACTGTCAGAAATAGCGGAGCTCTCTGCAGGGACACTTTTTGCCGGCTGTAGAAGGGATGAAAATCGGCCGATCGGGGAAAAATTCGATTCGCGCATCCGAAGTTTGCTAATATTCGGATTCGATGCGAATCGAATTTTTCCCAATATTCGAAACGAATTCCACTTCGCCAGGTTCAATTCGCTCATCTCTAGTTATAACCCGTCAGATTTTTTTTTTTTTACCATTTGTGTCCCATTGTGGAGATGTCCCTTCACTTCTTGTCCCATAGCCAAACAGGATGTCCCATTGGAATATTTCCCCTCTATTACTTTTCTGGGGACAACCCAAAATTTGGAATTTGCTTTTACTTTCACTTTCAATGATAATGGTAAAAAGAACAAATAGAGAGGGTGAATCTCCCTAATTGGGGCACAGACAGCAAGAAAAACTAACAAAAATTCCAATCCCTCTGCACTCTATCCAAAACTAAAAAAAAGTCTTGCCTTTAATTATACTTTAAGAAATACATGTTGAATATTACAGAAAATAAAGTCAGAACAAAGAAAAATGAATTTCTAATTGGTCACTGTGTTTTAAATTGTATCACTGTTATACAAGCCTCTATAGGGATGATGTGTGAATATACCTTAAACTCCACAGGGGTGTGGATTAGGAAAAGATCCATGTAATCTAGTCCCAGATCCTTTAGAGAGCTCTCCAGAGCTGGACGGACCCTTTCTGGGGCCTGATTATTACTCCAAAGCTTGAAATAAACAGTGAAAAAGAAAAAAGAATTTGGTCAGCAAAAGTGATTTGACGTAGCATAAAAGACCTGTAACATATACTGTCCCCTGCCAGAATGTCTGTGTAGAAGCAGCAGTCCTCTCTGCAGAGGTCTGACACATTCCTGCTAAGTCAGAGCTTGAGTTCTCCAGTCAGTGGGAGCATAAGTTTAGTTAAGTGCAGAGTGACAGCATAACATACTGCCCAACTTTTTGAAATGGGAACAAGGGACACCTATTAGCAAAAGTATGTAAGTGTAGGACACACCCCTTGCCACACACCCCTTAAAGGAGAATTATATAAAAAAAAAAAAGATTGGTTAAACCCGCAAGTGCTTTTTTTTTACCACTACTATTCCTTTATATTGGCTTTTGAAGTTTACAAATGCAGCAAATTAGAAATTGAATGAAATGAAATTGAATGAAAGTATAGCACTGTGAAACACAGGTCCCAGCCAGAGATTCCCCGCACCCGGCAATCACTGTGTAAAATTGACAAGGGAGTGTTTACACACAGGTCTCTCTCCTGCCAGCAAGGACATGATGCTTTGTATTTCTCTGTAGAGCAGGGAAATACAAAGTAGCATGTCTCTGTAGTAAAACAGCACTCACATTACAAAGTTAACCCTTTGATTGCCCAAAAGGTAAACCCTTCCTGCCCAGTCTCATTAGTACAGTGTCAGTGCTCTTTATTAGCAATGATCACTGTATTAGTGTCACTGGGGATGTCAGTGGCAGTTAGTCAGTTCCCACCCAGTGTCGGACTGCCCACCGCAGTCCCGCTTTAAGTTGCTGATCGCCGCCATTACTAGTATAAAAAAAAAAAACATTCTGGTATATATACCACCATTTGTAGACACAATCACTTTCACGTAAACCAATTAATTTACATGTATTTGGTTTTTTTGTAGCAAAGACGTAGCAGAATACATTTTGACCCAAATTTATGACGAAATTTGATTTTTTAACATTTTTTTAAATTTTTTTTTATTGGATATGCCTTATAGCAAAAAGTCAAACATATATTTTTTTTTTTCAAAAGTGTCTTTTTTTTGGTTTATAGCGCAAAAAATAAAAAATGCAGAGGCGATCAAATACCACCGAAAGAAAGCTCTATTTGTGGGAAAAAAAGGACTTAAATTTCATTTATGTACAGCGTTGCATGACCACGCAATTGTCAGTTAAACTAATGCAGCGCCGTATCGCAAAAAATGTCCTGGTCAGGAAGGGGGGTAAATCCTCTGGAGGGCACGTGGTTAAAGTGAAAGTTCAATTTAGCTTTAAAAATCCAGTTGTGGGTTCCTATGGAAAGATCCATACAGTCACACTGTTGTAGTCATATACAGTCAGCCCCGGTTCACATATATGCGAATTGGCCGCATTTTGAACCATATCTGATTCACATGACATGTGAACAGAACCAGCTTTCTATGGAGCCAGTTCTCATGTATGGCTGGATTTTGCAATTTTAAAAAGAGTCAGCTACGATTTTCAGTCCAGTTCAGGTGCGATTTCAGGATCATACACATTAAAAATTCACACTTGAACCACTAAATAAAATTGAAACTGGACCCCTTTTACAAATCGCACTGAAAAAACCACCACACATATTTGAACCAAACCTAAAGGCTAGCTGTGGTTCTGCCGTCCCTTTCTTGTTTATTATGCTTTCTCTATCCAGCCTGCATCCACTGGTTCTAAGTATTTAGTTTTACTGCAGGCCTATGATGTTTTACATGTATTCTTAATATGGTTTTCCAAAATTTTAAAGAAGATGGAGGACCCTGCAGTTGCTATCAAAAGGTTTCCAAGATTATTTCCATCATAGTGATGCTAAAATGAGAAAATCAAATTGGTTTGTTTTGCTGGATATGCAAAAAACCAGGCAGGAAACCCACCTCAAACATAACACCTAACCAGGGGCGGACTGACCATTTGGGAACTCGGGCACTGCCCGAGGGCCGGGGGGTCAGTAGGGGGCCCCATGAGATGTCCCTGGTACCTTTCATAGGCTTTTTTTGGGTGTGGTTTGAGTATGGGCAAGGACACAGGGGCCCCATGATCCCCTATTGCCCAGGGACCCCATGAGTCCGCCCCTGCACCTAACCCTTGAAATCTATGGGAGCTGAACCTTGTTTTCTTTTGCTGGCCTTTTACAAGGACACGTTGCAAGCATTTATTAAAAATGGGTATGTGTAGCCAAGCACAGCCATAAAGGACATGTACCAATTCATAAAAATACTGTTCAGCAGGAAGAAAGTCTTTTAATTTGGCTTAAAGGGAAACAGTAAAAAAATATGCTAATTAGTTAAACAGAGTACTTGGGGGAAGTCTTAAAGCTACATGTAAAGTTTTGGAAAAGTGAAATGTAACCCTTTAATGACTGGTTTGTATACAAACAGCAGGTGGATGTCTGTCCTTTACCACGTCTAACTGGAGATCCTTGCCAGCTTCTGCACACAATCCACAAGAAATCTGTCATTTAGTGGTGGTGTTACCACTGGGGTTATAGATCCCTGGCCAGGGATCCTGGGTGACATCTTCAACCAAGTATAGCCAGGATGGGATTCTTATTTGTGAAATGAGTTGCATTTATGTTGTGAGTAACATCACCGGGTGCCAGGTCATCCGGATTGATGAAGATATGATGACGTGATTGTAATTGGATTTTTTTTTTCAGGAAACTTTTTTTTTAATAAAGGAACTTTCCAAGATGTGGGTGTTTTTTTATACTCTTTACTGTTTTATGGATATGAGTAAAATGGGGTACCATAATACACCATTCTTAATTCCCTATGGGGGGGCCAGATATCTGGGGACCAATCAACAGCAATGATATACAGTCAACACTGGAGGGAGTGCATGTGACCAGGAAATGGCTAAAAGAATCTAAAGGAGATGTAGTGACCTCCCAGTTAGGCTACTATGTAGATTTCTTTTTTTTTTACTCTTTCAGCAGTGATTGTTTGATCTGGTCTGTTCAGGGTTTCATAGACTGGGTGTTTGATTGCTTCCCCCTGTCTCTAGAAGTTTCTAGAGCTTAGAAAGGGAGAGTTCTAATACCTAGCCTAAATATTGATCAAGGCCCAGCCAATCTCTGGTTAGGCGAGTCAAGATGGTGTATGTAAACAGGGAAAGGACCTGAAAAAAGAGGTCGTTTAGTACAGTAGATGCAAGCAGTTTGACTTTATATAAAATATTTTATTGAGACAGTACAATAACAATAAAAAATAATTAAATAAAGAATGCCAGATAGCACATGCCAATTTTGCAAAAACCTCCACCCAACACTTAAAATGGCTATGACAACATTGTCAGTGATAATAAAAAGACTGGACTTACGGTACTGTTTTATCACTGACAATGTTATCATTGCCATTTTTGGTGTTGGTTGGAGGTTTTTGCAAAATTGGCACGTGCTATCTGGCATACATTGTTCGATTACTTTTTACTGCATAGTGTTTCAATAAAATATTTTTTTAAAGTCAAACTACTTGGATCTACTAGAGTACCTCATTTTTCAGGTCCTTTTCCCTGTTTAGAATATAGTTCTACAGTACTTCTGGTACTAGAGCCACACTGCTTATTAGTGAGTTAGTGGACTGTACAAATAGCCCTTTATTGCTGACGCTTTCTACAGTTTATACCATTTTACTTAATTTTGTTATTTGAGTCCAGATAATGGCTGGGAAGCTAATAAATAGTCTGGAGCCCTGGAGAGATTCTTTCCCCAGAAAGGACACTTCCTAGCATAATGGAGGGCTGTAGACCCTTAGGCAGCTTAAGGATTTGGTTACTGTTCTGCAAGGTTCTAGGAGCTGCAGTGCTGGGATCTAGAAGCAGCCTGGATCTGACTACAAACTTTCTTCAAGGGATCTTGTCTGAAAAAGGATTGTCCCCTCACTGAGTGGTGTCCAAAGGAAGCTGGAAAGAGGCCGCTGCCCTTGGGACTTGTGAGTAAAGACCCTAGAAGTGACCCCTGTGACTGGATAGTGTTTTGAAGATTGAACTGGGTACCAGCAGTTGGAGCATGGTAAACCAATTCCAGAATGATTTACACCATGGTCTTCAACTGTGAAGGAAGAGACTTTTCAGTACATTTACTTTGGGAGAAGATTGTCCTCTAACTACTGTTTGCTAATCATTTTGGAATATTCAAGGCCCCAATCCATTTCCTGTTAACCACTTGCCTACCGGGCACTTATACCCCCTTCCTGCCAAGGCCAATTTTCAGCTTTCAGCGCTGTCACACTTTGAATAACAATTGCGCAGTCATGCAGCACTATACCCACAGTACATTTTTATAATTTTTTTCACACAAATAGAAGTTTTTTTTGATGGTATTTAATCGCCACTGGGTGTTTTATTTTTTTGGGCTATACACAAAAAATGAGCAAGAAAAAAAAAGTTTTTCTTTGTTTCTATTATAAAATTTTGCAAACAGGTAATTTTTCTCCTTCACTGATGTGTTTTGATGAGGCTGCACTGATGGGCACTGATAGGCAGCACTGATGGGCACTGATAGGCGACACTGATAAGCTGACACTGATGAGGCGGCACTGATATGCAACAATGATGGGAACTGAAAGGTGGCATTGATGGGCGGCACTGATGGGTGGCACTGACTGGCGGCAATGCTGGGCACTGACTGGTGGCACTGATGGGCACTGATGGGTGGCACTGCTGGGCTGATGGGGGCACTGATAGGCACAGCTGGATGGCACTACTAGGCACTGATGGGCACAGGTGGGTGGCACTGATGGAAACTAATGGGCACTTGTGGGGCGGCACTGCTGGGCACTTGTGAGTGGCACTGCTGGGCACAGGTGGGTGTGACTAGTGGGCACAGGTGGGTGGCACTCGTGGCTGGCACTGCTGGGCACTGATCATTAGGGCACTGATGATCAGTGCCCTGATGATTGGTGCCAATCTATCCTCTGACAATTGACGGTTGTCGGCAGTACTTTCCTCATGCTGTGACAGCGTGAGGAAAGTGCAGCCGATACCTGGCAACTGCATTTACCAGTGATCTGCCTTGTCATTGGACACGGCTGATCATGTGGTAAAAGGCCGCTGTGATTGGCCTTTTACCAAATCACGTGATCAGCTGTGTGTCCACAGGACACAGTGATTACGGAGATCACTGGGGGGCGCGCAGGGGGGGGTGCGTTCTGAGAGGATGTCATATGACACCTTCCCAGGACTGGACAACCGCGCTGTAGCTGACGTCCAGCTATAGCGCAGTTGGCAAGTGGTTAAATGTTCTTGAAGCAATAAAACTTAAAAAGACAACCCCTGATTACTGGAACCAGAGTGATTGGATTGTTGCTTGAGTGACTGGCGGCCTCTGCATGGTTTTAGAGAAGAATCAGCTAAATTCAGCAGTCCTTGCGGGGGTATTGCTACAGAGAACAGCAAAACCAAGATGGGGGAAAAAGGGAGGAAGAAGGGTAAAAACACTGTTTATCACACCTCCCAACTTTTTGAGATGGGAACGAGGTACACTTATTAGCAAAAGTATGTAGGCATAGGACAAATCCCCCCCCCCCCCCGGCTCGTCCCCTTAAAGGAGAATTATAAAAAAAAGATGATTAGTTAAATCCACAGGTGTCTTTTTTTTACCATTACTATTCCTTTTACACTGGCGTTTGACAAATTCAAAAGGCTGACGCGTTTCGTGGACTTGCCTCTTCCTCAGAGCCAAGTCCTCGAAACGCGTCAGCCTTTTGGATGTCTAAACTCCCTATTGCGGACTGTTACTCAGCGCGGTGTTGACCCAGCTGTTCTTTATGATGTGCCTTGACTATATTGTCGTTTGTGAGTACAACACCTATTTTATTTTTTATTAAACATTTTTGATGGTAATGCACTAGGCCTGTGCGCCCTCTGTTTTGTCTTTCCTCATTCAGTATATTTGGATTTCCCCGGTCCATTTGAGGGCAGCAAGGTGTGCATGTTCCAGGACATACTTAATGTGGTTGTAGCCTGCATCGAGTCCATCCCCAAGCGCAGGCAGGAGCATTTGTGTTTGCTGGTTCTTTATAGGCAATCTTTTGAGAGGTGGAGATCTACCTGGACAACATGGAATAGGCCTCAATGCTAGCCTGGCTGTCTGCTCTGAGTTCTTGCCAGTGTAGTAGTAGTATGTAGGGCATTGTTCAGGAGTCAGTAAAGGTCAGTAGAAGGTAGATCAGTGTACAGAGGTCAGTAGAAGGTAGATCAGTGTACAGAGGTCAGTAATAGGTAGGGCAGTGTACAGAGGTCAGTAGAATGTAGGGCAGTGTACAGAGGTCAGTATGTGTGTAGGGCAGTGTACAGAGGTCAGTAGTATGTAGGGCAGTATATACAGAGGTCAGTATTGTGTAGGGCAGTGTACAGAGGTCAGTAGAATGTAGGGCAGTGTACAGAGGTCAGTAGTATGTAGCGCAGTGCGCAGAGGTCAGTAGTGTGTAGAGCACTGTACAGAGGTCAGTAGTATGTATGGCAGTGTACAGAGGTCAGTAGTATGTAGGGCACTGTACAGAGGTCGGTAGTGTGTAGGGCAGTGTACAGAGGTCAGTAGTATGTAGGGCAGTGTACAGAGGTTGGTAGTATGTAGGGCAGTGTACAGAGGTTGGTAGTGTGTAGGGCACTGTACAGACGTCGGTAACGTGTTAGGGCAGTATACAGAGGTCAGTAGTGTGTAGGGCAGTGTTCAGAGGTCAGGGTAGCATGCATGTAGGGCAGTGTACAGACGTCGGTAGCATGTAGGGCAGGGTACAGACATTGGTAGTGTATAGGGCAGTATACAGAGGTCAGTAGGATGTAGGGCATTGTATAGACGTCGGTAGTGTGTAGGGCAGGGTACAGAGGTCAGCAGTAGGTAGGGCAGTGTACAGAGCTCAGTAGTATGCAAGGCAGTGTACAGAGGTCCAGTAGTAGGTAGGGCAATGTACAGAGGTCCATAGTAGTGTAGGGAAATGTACAGAGGTCAGTAGTAGGTAAGGCAGTGTACAGAGGTCCATAGAAGGTAAGGCAGTGTACAGAGGTCAGCAGTAGGCAGGGCAATGTACAGAGGTCAGTAGTATGTAGGGCAATGTACAGAGGTCAGTAGTAGGTATGGCAGTGTACAGAGGTCAGTAGATGATGTAGAGCAGTGTACAGAGGTCCATAGAAGGTAAGCAGTGTACAGAGGTCAGCAGTAGGCAAGGCAATGTACAGAGCTCAGTAGTATGTAGAGCATGTACAGAGGTCAGTAGTAGTAGGTAAGGCAGTTGTACAGAGGTCAAGTGTAGGGCAGTGTACAGAGGTCAGTAGTATGTAGGGCAGTGTACAGAGGTCAGTAGTAGTATGTAGGGCAATGTACAGAGTCAGTAGTATGTAGGGCAGTGTACAGAGGTCAGTAGTAGGTAAGGCAGTGTACAGAGGTAGTAGTAGGTAAGGCAATGTACAGAGGTCAGTAGTAGGTAAGGCAGTGTACAGAGGTCCAGTAGTAGGTAAGGCAGTGTACAGAGGTCAGTAGTAGTAAGGCAGTGTACAGAGGTCTGTAGTAGGTAAGGCAGTGTACAGAGGTCAGTAGTAGGTAAGGCAGTGTACAGAGGTCAGTAGTAGGTAAGGCAGTGTACACAGGTCAGCAGTAGGCAGGGCAATGTACAGAGGTCAGTAGTAGTAGTAAGGCAGTGTACAGAGGTCAGTAGTTGGTAAGGCAGTGTACAGAGGTCAGTAGTAGGTAAGGCAGTGTACAGAGATCAGTAGTTGGTAGGGCAGTGTACAGAGGTCAGTAGTAGGTAAGGCAATGTACAGAGGTCAGTAGTAGGTAGGATGCAGAACAGTACAGTTAAGCTGCTATGGCAGATCTACGTGTTCTAGTGTGTTGATCCCAATTAGCCCTCCTCTATCCCACATGATGTCATCCACAGGTGCCTAGGATGCACATAGGCACCTGTGCATCCTAGGAGTGCCATTGAGGATCAGCACAGTACACTCCAAGGATGAGCTCTGCGCATTCAGACAAAAGCCTGAACCTGCCCGAGCTATCCCGCCTGAAAGCTGTCATAGCGACAGAGACATTTCCTGCTCCGCAGCCACACATAAGCAAAGGACATTTTATGGGGCAGGGAATGCTATTGGCTTTGACAGCTTCCCAGGAGCTCACTGTATTCCTGCACAGCTCTGCCAATTGAGGGTCGGCAAGAACAAGATCACTTCCTACCCATCACCTGGCAGCGATCAACCAATAGACCCTGATCAACAGGTTGCCATCCTCTGCATAAAGTGATTTGGAGTTTTAATTGTACCCCAAACACTGCAAAATTTTTCCTCGATTGTCACTCAACAGAATCACAAGGCAATCTCAGCAAAATGCATATTCAAAAATCACACTAAGTTTGTTGCCCAAACAGGGAGCAGGAGCAAACACACATAGGGTAGTCCATTGAAGTGAATGGACTGTCCTATGTGCAACATGTGAAAAAACGTGTAAATTGCACTTTTAGGATCACAAGCAGGAATACCCATTCCTGCAACCCAATATCTGAACAGGACCTTAGGGTTTACATACATTCTTGTTTACATACACACAAGTGCCAAAAGAGTATACAAATACACACAAACAAAAATAAAATAAACAGTGCATGTCACATAAACCCCAGAAAGGGAAAACTACATGTGAGGTTTGATTTATGTAGGACTTTAATTTTAGCACACCTGTGTTTTTTATGTAGGAAAATTAACATTCTAATCATTTATTTCTGGAAAGTTTTTTCTATTGTTGTTTCTTTACATTTAGTTGTAGAATATAAGTTTAGGCTGTTCAAAATGGTGGCTGAAAGTGAAGCTTTGGGTTTAAAAAAATACAATTTTATAGAAAAGTCTAGTTACCTTTCCAGTGTAGAAAATGTCCTCTCTCTTCACTGTTCCATCAGCAATCTTTGCATTGATAGCCCGGCCAACTTCCACTTCATTGCCATACAAGAAAGCGCAGTCAATATGACGATAGCCAACATCGATGGCCACTTTTGTAGCTTCCCCTGCCTGCTCTTTCGTGTACTGGAAAAAGAAAACCAGACAAAAAAGCAAAAAGGATGGTAAATTGTGAAGAGATTGTTTTTCTTTTAAAGCAGAATATGTCATAATGCCCCCAGAAGCTCTTAGACCGCATTCACACTTCACATTTCACAAATAAGGTTTTTTGCACGTTTTTCATGCGACAGCATAGGACAGCCTATTCATTTGAATGGGCTGCCCTATGCACAGAAGATCCGGAAAAGAAGCTCCTGCATCTTTTTCAAAGCAGAGCTTGGCACATTTTTTACTATGCATTTCAGCTTGTTTGTCACGCATTTAGCCACGTGCAAAAATGCTCATTTTCTGGCCACATAATTAATTGGCACAATAAATGGCACTGCCAGCATGAATGCAGCAAAGCTAGAGTCTTTGCAGGCACAAATATCACATGTGAGGCCTCCCATTTTCAATACACATTACCGCAGACCATGTTAAGGCATGTCAGTTTGGGTGGTGCATTGTTACACAAGCCATGCTTTGTGGTGTGCTGCATGAAAAATAAGGGGTCACATATGTGTTTTTGACCATTGAGGTGTGTTGGCACCCCATTCCCAAAACTTTTCAGTTTAAATCAGCTAAATAATGGCAGGGCATAGACTTTTATACTTAGGATGTGGCTGCTTTTTAAATAAGATGAACTGTGGGACTTCATAAATCTTTTGTTTTGTGTACCTGAAATGTATTAAAACAGATTTCCACCCTTCCCCCATGGTATTTCTTTACCAACCCCTGCTTACCTGGTTTTGTGTTTAGCTAATTTCAGATACTTACCCAATTAGTGAATTCAGCACTGTCCAACTGAGATCCTCTACTCTACTGGCAGCACTCAGTTCCATGCCACCATGTTTTGCTGTGACGTCATCGAGAGGCTGACAGCTGTTCCAGGTTCAGTTGGCACACCTCTTGATGACACCCCTTCCATCTTTACTGAAAGGAAGGCTTTGCCTCTTGGGATATTTGATATGCATATCCCAGGAGGCAAGGGAGGATCCTGTACATCATATGCCTAGGCAAATGATGTGCAAGGGGGGCAGAGCTGGACAATTTCTTTAAATAGAAGGGTAGATTAAAAAAAAAAAAAAATACTTTTTTAATGCACAAAACTGGAGGAGGGGTGGAGAGGAGGGATCATGCTGCAGAGGGTGAAGATCCATTTTAGGCTTGTGCACATAGGACATTTATTTAACTCTCCTAGAAGCCAGCATTGTTTTTGCAGTAAAAATGCCCACGTTTGTAAAAGTATCTAAAGCTTTAACAGGCATCAAGCTATTGGGCATTAAGTAATTTCATTGACCAGAATAAACAATTTATTCTGATCATTGAAATTAATTAATGCTCAAGCACTAGCGTTTAGGCGAGTTTAGCAGCTTTTAGTAGCTTCAAGTGTTTTTTTTCCACCCAAATTCTGTTACTCCTGGACGCACTGGCAGTGGGGGGGGGGTTCCTGTCTCTAAAAGTCTCTAAAAGCTCCTGCCACTAAACGCTGCTAAAAGTCAGTGTGTATAGACGCATAGGCTAACATGGAGGGGCATTTAGAGGCAGGAAAAAAAACATGAGACATCCTTAGGCATCATGCACACAGGATGTTTATTTAACTCTCCTAGAAGCCAACAGCATTTTTGCAGTAAAAACGCCTGACGCTTGTAAAAGTGTTTAAAGTTTTTAGGAGCTTTTACAGGTGTCAAGCTCCTGGACGGTAATTCATTTCATTGGCCAGAATAAATAATTTATTATGGTCATTGAAATTAATTAATGTTCAAACACTAACATTTAGGCGTGTTTAGCAGCTTTTAGAAGCATCTAGCAGCTTTCAGTAGCTTCAAGCGTTTTTTTCTTCCCAAACTCTGCTGCTACTGGACACACTGGCAGTGTTTTTTTTTTTTCCTGCCTCTAAAAGCCTCTAAATGCTCCTGCCACTAAATGCTGCTAAAAGCCTATGTGTGCATGGACACATAGGCTAACATGGAGGGGCGTTTAGAGGAAGGAAAGAAAAATGGCAGATGCCCCTAAAAGCAGCTGTAAACATGTCCTGCGTGCATGATGAGGCACTAAGCTGGTTGAAGCCAGTTGAGCTTTAATGTTGTGTATATGATGCTCTACATCAGCCTTTCTCAACAAGGGTGCCCAGGCACCCTGGGGTGCCTTCAGGCTTCTTCAGGGGTGGCCTTGGCAAAATGCCAAAAATTGTATACAAGCCAACGGGGTGGATCAATCCTGCCTTTTAGTACACAAAGACACAAGTTTTCATTGTACACTTTTATGACCTTCTACCTGCCAGCATCCTAACAACCAATGACAATCATAAGTTGATAAGGAGGACATTGGGTGCATGCACATCATCCTTGTTTGGCCTCCCCTGCCCCTCTCTGTCAGCATTGGGGTCACATTAGCAAACTGAAGGAGAGAAAATGGGAGAGACACACTGGAATACCAGTCGAGTACCCATGTGCAAAGGTGTAGTTTGCTTTGGAAAGAAGAATAAATCACCTCTAACGTTGTACATACTCTATGTGTGTAGAATAGTTTTTTACATGTTTTAGATTGGGGTGCCTTGAGATTATCTATAATTGACTGAAAAAAGGTTGAGAAACACTGCTCTACATCACCAAGCAAACAATATAAATAATGGTTTTGGAACACTGATTGGTCAGAGATTCACCAGTTTAACATCAGAAAACTCACTGGAGCGCTACAACAATACCTAAGAAGATTCCCTATATGTACAATTCATAAGTACCATCTGAACCTAAAATCAATCAATACCATAAAGTGATTAAAAAAATATATAATAAGTTCTATTGGTGAGAAACTAAAATACATAAATATCTGCATTATATATAAACTAACCATTGATACCTCATAATTAATCTGTGATGGAAAATAACAAATTATAAATTCATAATAAATCCTCAATATCAGTGATATAAAATCAATTATCATAATCATTAGAGATGAGCGAATCGAACATGACGAAGTGAGGCGGAATTCGTTTCGAAGATTAGGAAAAATTTGATTCGCGCCTAATCCGAAAATTAGCAAACTTCGGATGCACGAATCGAATTTTCCCAAAAAATGGCGGCGTACATGTGTGGCGATGGAGCGGGGATCTCTGGGAAGGCGCGAGACAAGGCGCGCTGACCCATAATGCATTCATTCATGACATGTGTGATCGCATTAGCAATCAGCAGCCAGCCAGCCAGCACTGTGTAATGGTGGAGCTATAAATCGCGGCCATCTTAGAATTCTCCATTAGCCTCCGGGTCATTCAAGAGTAAGGACAAGACCTGTCTGTTTTAGGGACAGAGTTAGGGCCACAGAGGACTTTAGGGCCACAGAATCGTTATCAGGGACACAGAATCGTTTCACTCAGGGACACAGAATTGTTACTCAGGGAAACTAGAATTGTTACTCAGGGACACAGAATCGTTACTTCAGGGACAGACACAGAATCGTTACTCAGGGACACAGAATCGTTACTGAGGGACACAGAATTGTTACTGATGAGGGACACAGAATCGTTACTGAGGGACACAGAATCGTTAACTCAGAGACACAGAATTGTTACTGAGGGACACAGAACTGATCGTTACTGAGGGACACAGAAATTGTTACTGAGGGACACAGAATTGTTACTCAGGGACACAGAATCGTTACTGAGGGACACAGAAATTGTTAACTGAGGGACACAGAATCGTTACTTGAGGGACACAGCATCGTTATCAGGGACACAGAATCGTTACTGAGGGACACAGAATCGTTATCAGGGACAGCAATCGTCGTTAATGAGGGAACAGAATCGTTACTCAGGGACACAGAATCGTTACTCAGGGACACAGAATCGTTACTCAGGGACACAGAATCGTTACTCAGGACACAGAATCGTTACTCAGGGACACAGAATTGTTACTCAGGGACACAGAATCGTTACTCAGGGACACAGAATCGTTATCTCAGGGACACAGGAATCGTTACTCAGGGACACAGAATGTTACTCAGGGGAACAGATCGATTACTCAGGGACACAGAATCGTTACTCAGGGACACAGAATTGTTATGAGGGACACAGAATCGTTACTCAGGGACACAGAATTGTTACTCAGGGACACAGAATTGTTACTCAGGGGACACAGAATCGTTACTGAGGGACACAGATTTGTTATTACTCAGGGACACAGAATTGTTATCAGGGACACAGAATTATTAGCTCAGGGACACAGAAATCGTTAGTGAGGGACACGGAATCGTTACTGAGGGACACAGAAATCGTTACTGAGGGACACAGAATTGTTACTCAGGGACACAGAATCGTTACTCAGGGACACAGAATCGTTACTCAGGGGACACAGAATCGTTAGTTTTCTGATTCACAACCACTATTGTACGTTATTCAAAGAGTTATAATCCTGTTTTATGTTTGGGGTGCTTATTGAATTAAAGAGTATGTCAGACAACACGCAGAGGAGTGGGCAGAGGAGGCAATGTTTCAGGAGCTGAGCAGACGTGGCAGCAGAGGAAGGTGGGTCGAGGCAGCATAGTCGCAGCCAGAGGCCAGTGCTCCCGGTGTCATCCAGCGTCGTGTCTCCACCGACACCCTGCCGTCATCGATTGGTTGACTCGGTCGTCTTTCCTCTTCCAGGTCACCTCTGACACCTACAGCCAAATGGTCGGTGGGTACGTCAGGACCACAACTGATAGTTGGCATGGCCCCGGGAGCAAGCCACTGAAAATCACGTTCCTCTACCTGGCCCTGTCCTTTGGTGTTCCCTCACCAAGCGAAGTATCGCATGCTGTGGGCTCAGCCCCACTGTACAGTGAGGAAGAGCTAACAGAGGGCGGTCAGGCAGGGGGGAGGAATCCGCCTCTTCAGCAGCAGGCGAAGAAGTACTGGCGAGGAGTGTGGTCGGTAGCGGTCTAGAGACAGGTCTGTCTCCTGACCCAAACGGCAGCCGAGAGGGGTAGTAGTGACGCGGAGACCCTAAATTGATGATGTGATGAGGCTGATCGCACTTGGCAGCCCTCGTCGTTATCAGGCTATTGCTTCCGCATCATCAGGAGAAGAGGGTGCC